GCTTGCAAATCCCTTACTGTTAGGGCTGCACAATTAATTGAAATCTTATCAAAATGGCAATATGGCCAAATGTAATATGCAAATCACAGAAGCTGCAATTGTTTGATAAAGGTAAAATGTGTGACAATAAAGAGTTATAATGAAGTACTGTAGTTTTGAAGAGATGCACTGACCTTCAAATCAGATGTAAGAAAACAAGCATGTTTGTTTGGTACCCCACTAAAAAACTTCATCATGATTTTAATAGTTTTATCAGTGAAAATTGAATTTGTAATGCAAAAATGGTAATTCCCACACTAATTGGGAATCATATCTGTCAAAATAGTATGATGTTTTTACCATATCATGCAGCCCTAATTACTGTGTATGAATAAATATACAATATAGAAGAATATAGTGAATATCATTTTTTCAAAGGTCACCAGCAACTTAAATGTGCATGAGAGTTACAATAATTGGGCTTATGCACGATGCTTTAATGCTGTTAAATGTGAATTATGATGTTGATTAGTGTAAATGTTATTGGTTGAAATTAGATTTGGCATATTTCCTACTAGATTGATGTGGTTGTTTTTGGATAGTCAACCCAGATATATGACTGTTGTCTTGCACACAGCACATTTAATTATCATCTGTTATATTGGCTTAATTAAAAACATGACATAGTTTTTGTCAGACATAGGATAGTTCATATTCACATTCATATTTATTTTAACACACCCCATACTTAGCAAAGTATTAGAGAAATATTTCACTCAAAAGCAATGGGTTTATGTGACAACTCGCTTTACTATTCTTCATATATTATTCATTATCATATTCATCATTGTTAATTATTCATATTATTAAATCTATACTGCTGAGCTCCTGTTCTGTGGCTGAGGCTGCTGCTAGACAGAATCACACTCATTGCAAACCATAAGCCTATATCTATGTACAGGCCATTAACACTGAACACCCCAAACATTGACTGTACAGTATACATACTCTGTATACAGAAAAAGCTCTGATCTGAGCTCTGATTTAGTAGTCGTACTTTTTAATTTCTACAAGCTATTCCTCTTGATATCTCTCTTGAAAGGATTTGATCCAAAAAGCAGCATCATAGTTGTGATTTCAAACAGGGAAAACAACAGAAACAGAGTGGAAGAATACATGAAAAGTACTCACAATGGGGATGTGAGGCTCATTGGTGGCATAGAGGTAGCCAGCTAGCAACGTCTGCAGCTGCAATGAATTCAGCTTGAAACAGGTATTCTGGATGTCCTTCGCGTCTTTCATTGAGTACTTATTCATGGTCAGGAGCATGGTTGCCTAGAAACAGCCAGGCAATGCTATTTTAACAACTTGTACTGAATGAAATATGTGCTCTGACACGTAATTAAAACCTGAGGTAAAAAACTGCAAAGCATAAACAGGTCCAGAGATTTATTATCCTACAAAGAAGCTCATAAAATGTAGAAAAGAACATCTGATTCAGAGTTTTTTATATTGAAACCTATAGGATTTTGGTGGTAGAAAACACTTGATCCCATATTACTAAAAACCCAGTGTTGTTTTTACCAATATTCAGACGTGTAGTGCAGACAGGGAACCGACCTGGATTATGTGTCCGAGGTGGCAGTCGGCGGCCAGCTCCAGGCCCTGCCTCTCCGCCCAGGCTTCAATGGCCATAAGCCTCTGGCGGAGAGCAGCTCCCCAGTAGTGGGAGCGCAGGCCAGGAGTCTTAGTCTCCGGGCTCATTAGCTGGTTGAAGAGCCAGGCACTGATGAAATGGAAGAGTTGGGAAAAGAGCTGGATGGTGAGGGCGGGGTTGACCCGACAGCGGCGTAAAAGAGACATGGTGTTCATCAAGGTGTTCAGCACCATCTCTGCAAATGAGAAGAAAAATGTACATGGTATTTGAACAGGGAGGCGATATGTCTCGCAACATCACAGCTCTTCCAAGAGTCTTAAATTGTGTGGTGTACTGAGGTAATTGTTGCTGAATAAATACACAAACATTTACCTATTCCAGCTGGCAGTGGGCCATGTTGCTCAGGATCAATCAGAAAAGTTGGCAAGTGTTTCCTTAACTCATTCTGTAGACACTGTAGCAGGCAACTTGAGGGAATAAAGCAAATATAAAAACAAAAACGTTAGACTGTATTATGTACAACATGCATCTGTTCTGTCTGGAGTAATTAGTCAAAAAGCTACATAATTATCAATTTTATTTTGATATAAACACATGACATAAACATTTAAGGATCCCTTAAATTGTCCTCAAACATGTTTGTCTGTGTTCTCTTGTTGCATATATATCATAATACGTGAAGACTGATATATCTGCAATAAGAGAGTTTTCTATTGCAGTGAGGAAAGAACCTGTTTCTAAAGTGGTCTGTTTTAGTGGCAAGAGACCTTGATGATCTGTTGTGTGTGTGTGTGTGTGTGTGCTGCAGTTTCAGTTTGGATCCAAGCTCACTGAATGTCTACGGTCACGTCTGTACCTGTAAGCTTTGTGCACCAGGTGGGACAGATCCAACTGACTTTGCTGTGTGAGCGGGCTGAGGTCTTTGTCATGCTTGAGGAAGTTTAGCAGCTCAGAGGAGTTGGCCATCCAGAAGGCGAGCGCGCCGGCGATGGCCTGCTGCCTCTGCAAGGTAAATATAGCAGCAGTTTACAAGACAAACTCACAGAACACCTGGCAGACTTGACTTTAGTTTCTCAGTTTGCTTTATTCAGTGCGTGTGAAGTGTAACAAAAGTAAAAGGTCTCTTGTACTCGCCTGGATGACCTTCCCTGTCATGGCCACCATTTTGTTGGCGATGGAGGTTACACTGTGTGTCTGCCCTGAGGGTGGAGAGCCTTGCCTGTAATGGCGTTGCAGAGCGAAGCGTCCCACCGCATAGAGGATGTATGCAGGTGAGAGCTTGAAATGAACTGTGGAGCTGTTGGTGTAATTTATGACTGCAGATAGGAAGGCTTCCTCAGCTGAAATGTGAAAGACACCAGCAGGGGGCAGGAGGACATTATGAGAGGGAACACAGTGAGCTCACGAATGAAAAATATCTAAAATAATGCTGTTTGTTTCATACTCACAATTATCACAGAATTTAATTCTAATTGGTAATCCAGGTTGATCAGAAACGTCAGGATAATGACTTCCTGTGGGCTTTACTCCTGTATTTCAGCAAAGAGAAATCATATGAGGAATAGAGAAACAAGGACTTGCAGCCATCCTGTTTATATAATATAAACTTATTCATTAGACAGCAGCACAGTTCATTATCATTTCTATTTGTCTACACAATTTGCAGATTACTTACCCGGGGCAGCCTGCCTCTGTTGCTTTTTTGTCTCGTGGTTAGACACACAAATGCTGTTGTTGTTCAGTGGCTTTTCAGTTGACCTGGATATTTGTTTAAAGGGGTGAATGTTATTCTACGGGTTAGGTAAGCATGAAGTCAGTGGTCTGGAAAATAAAAATTCCTAGTAAACAATGAAACATTTTACCCATTCTCCTCCTCTGAAACCTTGTCAGTCGCTTTAGTTTTGTTCTTCTCTTTCTTCTTTTCTTTTCTCGACAGTGTCCTCTTGAAGTTTTGGATCACGCCTCCTTTTTCCTTCTCGTGACAGTTCTCCTTTATTGTTCAGCACAAAAAACAGAACATAGATATGAGATGTGAGAATGAAGAGAGAGTGAAATTGCAGACTAGATTAATGGTTTGAATCTTACCACCAAACTCTCCTTGTCTTTCTTCAGCACAAAACGTCCTTCTCTGTTGTCTGTGGTCCAGTTTAATTGTAATACCAAAGGCCTCTCATCCAGATCCAGTTTACGTTCTTATTCCACATACAAAACGCAGGGAAATGGTCAGAGCATATTGTTAAATATTAAAAACAGTTGAAATCACATAAACTGTTATACAATGTTTGAAATGTACCAGTATGTGTGGCTGTTACATACTGCTCCTATGCTTCCTGAACTGTTAGTTCAAGCAACTAACAATTATCTTCAATCTTCAGATTACTTGATCATTTCATTGTTTGATTTAGTTCAAAACCCCAATATATTTTCAGTTTACAATCAAATGACACACTAAATCAGGACCTCTCATAATTGTGAGGCTGAAACCAGCTGATTTTTATGGCTGAAAAATAACCTAATCCATTAACTGATTAGCAAAATTGTTGCTGATTCATTTTCTGTTTACCCACTACTTAATTAATTGATTCTTGTTTCAGCTCTAAACAAAATACAACAACATTGTCCTTGTTAACATTATGAGAATTTATTATGTCCAAAGAGGCAAAGAGGCAGCCAGGCCAGAATCAAAATGTTTTCACCTTGAGTCACCTGAATTGAGTGATTACCTTTATTGGCGTGGATCTCGTACAGGGAGTAACCCGTAGTCAGCATTTTCATATCAGGCCTGAATTTCTCCGAAAGAATTTCTATAATCTCATGAGTTGAAGAGTTGCTGCAAACACGCAGGCACTTTGTGGCCACATTTCCTCCAACATGATCCTCAAAGTAGAAGCGCATCACACCATGAAACTCCAACTTCTGCCAGGAAACAGTTGCAGAGAAGAAGCCATATTGTTAAATAGGCGTTGAGAATGAAATGAATAATCTTCCTTTTTTTATAAAATGCTGCTTTGGATTTAGGAATTTAAAAAGCTCTCCCAATGCAATTGCTGTCAGATTCTTAAAAAAAAGCAGGTAATATAAATTATAATCTTATTAAATCTTGCACACTTGATAGCTTATTTACTGTTTTTATTAAAACATGATTGAGCTTAAAATCTTCAGTTCAAAACAGGAATGCAAGTTTGCCAGCAGCTGTCAATTAAACACAGACATTTTATAGCTTAAAGTATATCTAAAACTGTGCCACTGACAGTCGCATAGAAAATAAAACCAAACAGATAATTTATTCTCTTTATGAAACCTGTCTGATGTCTGCAGGCGACTCACCTCATCAGGTTGGCTTATTTCAAACAAGTCCAGTCTGTTGTCGTTCCACTGTCTGATGACTTTGGCTAATTTCTCTCGTTCTTCCTCCTCCGGCATTTTTCATCAATTAAACTCAAAGTTTCTGTCTGACTGGCTGCCGTGGATTTAGTCCAGAAAAAGACAGAGAGGAATATCCCGTGGCAGAAAAAAAACCTCTTATCTGTCCTGGGTATTGTATCTATTAGGACCCCACCCCTTCTTCAATCTATTCCCCATTAGTTATAAACTCTTTGTGCTGTGCAGTGAGTTCTTAAACATAATTGCCTACATCCCCACATCCCTCTCCAAGCCCCACACCCCTCTGCCCCTCATTTAACGGGTCAGTGGATCTTTGTTATGTGAAGCAAACAGTTTCCTAATCATATAACTGTCACAGGCAAATGATTCCCATCTGTATTGTCCACCACCAAATGTAATCTGTCATTTTTTCTTTAATTGTGGTCATATAATTTCAATGCGCAATAGTGTTTGTTTTGATTCCTCACTGGGGTTTTCTGGTGCCACTATTTACATGTATTTAACTGTTATAAAATATATTTTCACCATGCTGCGGAAGTCATCATGTGATGTTGACAGTGTGTAGGAATCTCAGAGACAAGAGAGATTTCCATCCACCTTTTCTCATTACGCTTGAGGGAATCCCACTTAACATGCATACCAGTGATTTTCAACACAATTTATGGTCTTCCCATTCAGTCAGCCCTATGTATGTAGGGCAGCTTTTGTTGGCTGCTCTGAAGCTTTCTGGGTAAACCTACAAAGGAACAAAAGCCTCAAAAACCAACCCTTAATTAGATATACAGTATAGCATTAAAAAACTGAACAAACAAGGGTATTGTTGTCTGGATGTTGGGAAATGCAGAGAAGACGCCTTTCAGTAGGAGAAATACATAGTTTCTGCCATGATGATCCATTTGAGAAACAGGTACAAGGCTACAGCCCATCAGCATAATTATTTTTATTTTCATGTATGTAGCAGAAAAAACTTCATAACTCTGTCAAGGTAATCTTCAAATTTTTTTAAATAAAAGACGAATAGTTTAGACATTTTAAAACACCATCTGAATTCGGCTCAAACTGCATTCAATTGACTGATGTGGCCATGATTTCAGGAGGATGCCTCAACCCTCTCTGGAACCACTGAGTTATTGCTATTAAATGTAGCTGTAGCACCACCCACTATAGAAAACATCCATCTAAAGTTTGCAGGGTCACTCGTAACTTTTTTTGTCCACTTTTTTTTTTTTTTGGCTGGTGAGTGAAGCAAATCTACCAGCCACTTATTTTACCAGAATTTGTCTGGTGGCTGTTGCTAATTTTGTGCCCTCGTCACTCAGAGTTGATATGTGCATGTCATTTAAATGGACAGTTAATATCAAAAGTATTTTCCTCTTAGTTGTAGTGCTATTTATCCATCCAGATTGTTTTGGTTTGAGTTTTGGAGATATCAGCCGTGGGGATGTCTGCCTTCTCTCGAATATAATGGAACCAGCTGGTGCTCAGCTGGAGTTGCTCAAAGTGCCAAATAAAAGTAAATTTTAATAACTCAACAGCAATGTCTCTTTCTAAAAAGACCCATTACCCGAAGATAATCCACAGACCTTGTTGTGAGCAGCTCATGTAGGAGTCTGGATGAAGTCTAAATTAGTTAGTTGACGTTATGTGCTCAAGACAGCATTTTTGCTACGTTTGCTTGCTAGAAATCCATCTGTGTTAGCAAGCAAGTTAATGTTAGCCAGCTAAAATCACAATATCGCAATGTATTTCACAAGCTTTGCTGTAATGTTAGCTTTGACTTTGGACTCTATGTTTTTTACGTTACCCCCTGCTCACAAATTGGTAATAAAAAGTAATTAATACATATAAATAATGCTTCAAAATCATACATATGGTACCTTTTTATTCAGTAACAGACAAATAAAATACAAAGACAAGGTACCATAATCAATAATTTTACTGCTGCTCAGTAGCTGAGATTATCATATGACTCTATTGGCCCTCATCTTAAAATGACGTAAGGTCCTCAATCTAGATATAAATAAGCATCATTTACTGCTGAATTAGTATTGTTGAGGTGTGAGGTTGCAAAAATATGGATCCTTTCTTAATTTCCTAACACCTCCTGTGTCATCCCCTCACAGTGCAATTCTCTAGTTATCACCTTTAAAGCCTTAGAATATCTAATGTGATACAAGACTGCAATAACAACCACCGTAGTACATTTCACAGTACTTGGCTGTAAACCTAATGATGAGACTACACAAGGACATCATGTGCATTGTAAAGAAAACACATGGAAGAATAATCCTGTAATGTTCCAGCTCCTCAAGGCTTCAGTCGTATAATCACACTGTTTCTCTCTGCATCCTTTGTCTCTCTCTTCCTGTCAGAAAACACATACACAATAAAGACACATTAAGGATTCAAACTCAAACCTTTCTGCCGCACCTGCCTAATTGTCGTCTAGATTTACGAGTATATTCTTGTCCCTGAGACCAATTGCCACCTTTTTTTCCTCGCACCTTTCTTGCCATCTTCCCCACTCTTGACAATTTCCTCCTGTTGTGTCGTAAACACTTTTGTTCTTTATTTATTTACCTTTTTCTCTTATACTAGAATATGTATGGGAAAGAGGGAGTTATATTTGTTGTCAGCTTGTTGTTGGTTTGATACTGTTTAGTATTGGTTCCTTTCAATTAGGCATGGGACGATATAAACAATTCATGTCACCATTATGAATATATACTTCCTACTTTTAAAATGGCACTAAAACACATTGGGATCACCTTATTTTTTGTTAAGAAACACATATTTATTGCATAATCATTCAGCCATTGTGACAGGCTTAGGATTTTGGAAGGACTTGAAAGATGCAGGCTCTCCCTTGTCCGCTTGTTCAAAATCATCAATCAATATAGGACTATATGCTGGAAAGCTAGTCTCCTTTTTTAAGTCAAGCCATGTGAGGATATTGGCAATTATTCCGATTCATAATTATCACGATATTGTAAATGACTTTGTGTTTTATACTTTGTGGTATACGATGAAATTGTATCGTCTCATCCCTACTTTTAATATTTGCAACCTGTGAATTTTGGTTTGTTACCTTGTTGTTGTTACTGTTGCAGTCATTATATTAAATACTATACTATATCATTATATAGTCTCTGGGTAAGAATAACAGCTAATAATGATGAACATGTATTGATCTAATAACATCATTTTAATAAAATCCATTTACCCTTTTAGGTTCTCCACGTCCTCTATGGTCTCTGGCAGAGCAACTCCGCTCATCTCAGGCAACATAATCACCAATCCGCTGTACAGCACCGACATCACACCTGAAGCAAATGTAAGGTACTTTTTAATACAAGACAAAAGAGATCTTAAATTGGTGACTTGAAATTTTCTTTATGTATCATTATAGAGAGCTAAGAGTATTTGAATTACATGGTGGCAGTGAGACTCTTACCATAAAGAAAAAGCGGCAGCTCCTGCCAGATACTGGCCAGTCTGTAGAGCAGAAATGGGGCTACGATTGCTCCAAAGTCACTGGCTGATGAACACACTGACACACCCAAATTTCTGTGAGAAATTAAAAAGCAAATTAAGCCACAAGCAAGACATTCAGAATTCCTATTCCTTTAGTTTTTTAGTTTAGTTAGGTATTAGTTAGGCAGACAATAAACAGATTAAGCCTGATTGTAACTCCAAAACAGTCCCCCTGACTTATTTTAGAATGAAGGAGAATTTTGCTGGATTGGCTGTTGTTTGTCTGAGACTGTGCTGTACTAAAAATAAAACTGAACTTTGCATATTGTCTGCATCATCTTAGACAATTGAGACTTCATATTGGTCTTCTCTTCTTGCTTCACATTCATGGTAGAATTGCACAAAGTAATGCTGCCTGTCTATAACGTGTAGTGTGAGTTTGTCCAATTCTGTACTTGTTAGTCTGATGAGCACACTGTGTATCATTTTTCACACCACATAAACAAATCTACAAACACTCATTGGTTTCATACCTCAGGGGTGTTGGATACATCTCTGTGTTTGCAAAGTTCAGGGTCTCAAATCCAATAACAACAGCAAGCCTCCCGATGATAGCAATGGACTTTTTCAACCAGGCCAACTCTGTAGGGAAGACAGAACAAATAAAATGCACGATCAAAATGGGATCGATAATGGGAAGCATAGTCATTTTACTAACCAAGAACTTTCAGCTGGCGCCACGTGTATAGTCAGCTGCACCTACCCATGGAGACAAAGGGGACTATGAGGCAGGCGATGCCAGCAGTGAAGTTGGTGATGCCCATAAGGGAGCGTCGACCAACTCTGTCGACCAGCAGGTAGAAGATGAGACCCGTGGGAAGCTCCACCACAGCGGAGATAAAGAAATCCATGAAGAGGTTATCACCTGTGATCCCTAGCCGCAGGACCAGGCCTTGAAACACAATGGTACTTGTAAACCTGGATGAGTGGCATATCAAGTTAATTTTTAAATTATTAGCACATCCTCCAGCAACAATCAATATGGTATTTTATAGTATCATGTAGGAGGAAATAACTTACCAGGCATAAGTTAAAATTAGTGTGTTTCTTCTTATATATGGTGTCCTAAACAAATCCATTATTGATACAGGATTTACTTCTTTCTTTTCCTCCAAAAGAATCATCTGGAAAAATAACACATTCATCAGATTTAGTAAATCAGAATTCCAGATTTGCATTTTATTTGGCACAGTTCCTAAGAAACAAGGTTGTAATCAGGATACACAGTCTTGTGAAATATTGTTGCACCTCTGAAAGATTATGTGGTAAAGATCTCCTGTTGCATTTTGCAATGTTCGCAGCAACTTTCATGGCCTCTGTAGTTCTTTTTTGTGAGAACAGCCAGCGTGGAGATTCAGGAACAATCCTTGAAAAAGAAACACACTTCTGTATTGGATTTAATATCAGCATCAGAGCGACCATGTAGATAAATAAACCGTGTATATATAAAGCAAACCATGTATGTATACCAGTGGTATGAGATGAACAGGATGCAGGGCAGACTCATGACCAGCTGCAGAGTCCTCCAGGAGGTATGGAAGTAAGCCAGACCAGGCAGGATGACCATGCCAATGGAGTAGAAAGTCCGACACACCATGGACACAAATTTCCTGTTGTTTGATCCAAAGAACTCAATCACTACAACAACAAAAAAAGATAATATGTTTTAGCAGACACTCATTTCCTGTTGTTTGATCCAAATAACTCAATCACAACAACAACAAAAGATAATGTGTTTTGGCAGACAGACTAACCTCTTATGTATTTGTCAAAACACAGATGATTGACAGACAGGTTATAAAATATTAGTGGCAGGCAATATGACTAACATCAATAAATAGAATAAGATGTGACCCTCTGTGCTCTTTTTGGAACTTGTGTAACAGACTATTTGTTGAGCTCAAACAAAATAAGCTGGCCTTTGCAATGGCGGGTCACCCAGGTCACTGGGCACTGAATGTCAGGGGAATCCTGAACTACCTATGAGTCCTGCAGCATGACTGTTTACTTAAGTTGTGTGTGTTTGACTCTAACATCAGTGAGTCTGTTCATTTCTAGACAAATAACTTTCTTGTGAGAAAGGAGTAATTAAACCTGACAGCAGAATTTTACAGCATTTTTTAGGAGTCAAGTTGGGAATTACTCAGTATTTTTGTCTTAGAATTTCAATAGAAATGTTTCTAAAAGGGTAAAGCACTTGTAAGGCAACTGCATGGTAGCTAACGTACTCGAAAATGTATTAATACAAGATATTTCACATAGTACAGAGGTATTTTAAGAACATTTATTGTGAAAATGAATGTGTTTTGATTTGAGGAGGTAGAAAACATTGTTTGTATTACCACAACTACTGTCAGCCAACATAATCTTAAACATATATTATTGTTTTCTGCTTGTTGTCTGACTTTTCAAACCTGAACCATGTGTATGTAATGCAAATCAATGTGCTAATGCGCCAAAAGAGCAATACCAGGTGACAAAAGTGTCACTTTTACTTTCTGGCGGAGCTATTATGTTGGTGCTTATTTAAGAGAGAGGAAACTAGCTCCGAGGCGATTCAGAAAGTTACACCTGCACCTGAGTGGACACTTGGCATCTCAGCAGTAAAAATAAAAGAGTGTTCAGCTCGCGTTTTGACCATAAGAACAGGAGCCAACAGCTGCAAAGTCCCTTCACCCAAATCAAACTCACAGGATTTGTAAAGCAAATCATACAGAAAAATGAAGAAATTAATGTGAACTAGCTCTTGTGAAGTTTGAACTTGCACAACATTGATGTACTGGTCTCTTTTTACCAACTCCTTCTCCTCTTCGTTGTGTGCAGGCAGGCTCTACCGCTCAGTATGGTGTAGTCAAAATTTTTTTCTTTCACAAGCTCTGGTGTTTCAACATACCGAGTACGTAGGTGGCCGTCCATGCTCCCTTTCCACAAAACCCTTGTAGAAATCGAAAAGTGAGCAGCAGTGGGTACCATGGCGACAGCATGACACCTACACCTGAGACACCAAGACCAACCATAGATGCAATGAGGCATGGCTTTCTACCAAACCTGTAAAAAGACCAGGTATTATTATTATTTTATTTAAACTAAATAACTGAAATGGAAATGGTCCACAGTTGAAACTAAAAAGTGCTTAACAGACCTGTCAGCCACGTAGCCAGTGACAAAAGCTCCAATAAAAAATCCAAATGCCAGGAATACTTGATTCAGATCAGCAAGCCAGGATTTCTCACAGACTAATGAGAACTAGGAGGAAACCAAGACCAAATTTAAAAGTTTGCATAGGAAACCATTGCAAAGCCATTACAGATAAGAAATGCCAACAAGTCAATTCTTTAGTTCTCTAACATTTCTCATAATTAACATCAGCTTGTTGTTTTCACAGTCACATGATAAAAGTCTAATGCAAAAGCAACAAAAGAGAACCTTTTTGTAGAAAGTATATGTACAGATCTACAAATTATCCATCAACATTGTAAGATGGCAGGTGCAGCATCATATTTCTAACATGATTTATGTAGAAAGAGGCAGAGAGAATATGTACCTACCTCAGAAACAATAGTGCTGTGGCTTTTATCAAACACCCATCTGCTGTCACAAGGCACCAACTGGGTTGCATTAGAAGCCAATAGCCAGTCTATTTCCTTGCATTTGTTTTGGCTTTTGCTCCAGTCCAAGCCAAACCTCTCACAGCGGCTGAAGGAAGCCGACTGCTCAGAGCGGGGAACAGTGACTTCCCGCACCTCAAAGTCTGTCCAGCCGCATTCCTCCTGAAGACCCTCGGATTCAGGACTCCAACACCAGTGATCTGGAGCGTGTCCTATGAAAACAACCCCGACAAGAACAAAAGCAAAGAGCATCAACGGTAATGCACCAAGTGTAACAATCTTCTTCTGGAAAGGCCCAAAGTCTCCTATGTGCTCAATGAGTTTGTCTACGTTTGCCATCTCTGCTGACTTTCTGATGTCTGCCATAAGATGCTGTGTCTGTTAGAGCAGCTCCACCCTGAGAATGTAGAAGACCTGTCTTTAAAGAGATGAGCAGGGCACCAGTTGTTGATCAAAGTCCCTTTCTTTCTCACTTGTGAGTTTATTGGTCATCCATCCAAGGAATTGAGCAAGCATATCATGTCAAAAAACTATTTATAGGCCCTGCATGCAAGACTCAAGGGGGGTGTTTTACTTCCTTTTGTCCTGACACCATACCTTTTTAAGGTCACAGATTGTGATACTGACATTCGGACATGCTATGCCTCCTCCACATTACTGTTGTGAGAATGGAATTAGTTTTTTTGGATTTAGTGGAGTTATTTCTTGAATGACTTTATAAAACATATGGACAGATAGAGTATGTGGTGATAGTGCAGAGGTTGGTGGGGCAAGCTGGTGTGTGTATGCAGTAAGAAAACAGGCGTAGGTGTGGGGGATGAAAGTGTTAGATGGGTAGTAAATGTATATAGAGTGCTTAAGGGGGTTTGTGTTTTTATGGTAAGGGAGTGCCTGGTAAGCATTTGGTCACAGTCACAGGGTCAGATCATTTGTGTTGAAGACCTCAATCT